TTTTTTTTTTTTTTTTTTTTTTTTTTTTTTGCATTTCTAACCTCCAAAATATTTCAGAATTGCAACTTGGAAAGGTTTGAGTGTTTCTTAGCACAGTTAACTCTTAAACCTAATGCTTCCCTGTCACAATTCACTTGTGATAGATTTATTTAGCAAAACCACTGAGTTGCATGAGACTCATGTATGAGAAAATGTCTATAGCCTGATTCAGGCAAAGACTACTATTTTCTTCACCTTTCCCAGTTTGCTGAAATAAAACCAAAACAAGACAGGAGAGCTAAAATGTATTTGAAACAGCACTTGTAATTTACAAAAAAACATGTTCGTATTATCTGTTCAAGTAGAAATTTATGGCTTAAACCTGGGAGATGCTTACATCTCCCCTGCAGAGCAGGGCAGAGATTCCCTCCCCTCTGTGTGCTGGCAACCACTGAGAGAAATGAAAAATCTGAATAAATCCCAGGGTGCAGCACAGGTATACAGACCTTCCGAAACGAAAAGCAAATGGGACATTTGGTGGGACTGATTCACACGCAGCTCAACGCTTCTGAAGAAAGTTGGTGTACTCCTGGTCAAAGTCCCAGTAACTAGATGGCCAAGGCACCAAAAAGTCCTTCAGCATCCATGGGAAGATACACCCTCATCCACAGCCAGGTGGAAGAAGTTGTCCTGTTCGGGTCTATGACAGGGCAAGAATGGGGAAAAGGAAAAGCTAAACTGCCCCCGCCTGGGTTATAGAAAGGCACAGACCCTAGTGACCCAGCCAGCAGCACCTGACCATTGTGGTGGGGCTAGTGTGCTCTTGAGGATGGAAGAGACCTGCGAGGAGGGAGGGAGTGCGTGGAGAAGAGGCTGGTCTGACACGGGAGCTGAGGATGAGGAGGACTGGAGGATGCTCAGATCTTTGCAGTATATGCAAAACACAGCTGTAGAAACAGAGTTTATGGACAACGGGAGGGATTACAGGATGATTGCCCTGTGGGATGTCAGTGGTCTCAGAGGAAAGTGGTGGCTCCCATGTGGTCGCTGCATCTCATCATGGTGCACAGCCTCTTCATGGCTGCAACTCCATCTGTGCTCCGCTACACCCCAGGGATCCCCACCAGGCACAGGATTGCGAGAAAAAATATAGAAGAGGTTCAATGCTCATCTCTGGCAGGTTCATGAAGGCAAATGGCTCCTCCTCACCAGGCAGATCTGAGCCCCCCAGCTGGCCCCCTTGGCAGGCTGGTCTTTGCATTGCAGGAAGGGGCAGCAGGGGACAGTCTGCTCTCCAGTCCTCATCAAGATGGCAGGTCCATGTCCCCTCCCTGCCCGTGTCAGGCCGTGACGGCAGGCATGTCGCTGAGCTCTGGAGAAGGGGACACACAGTGAGCTACCGAAACATCTGCAGTTGTTTTGACAGCCATCGCGGGCAAACAACCTGGCTGAAAATGGCGTGCAACCCAGGTTGGGTCGTTTTGTCTGGATGATAACTCCATGGGTGCAGAAACATGGTGCATGGGAAGATCTCCATCCCACCCCACCCTGCCTTGCAGACCCAAGAGTGCTCAGCACCTCTGGGCTCTCTTTTCACCGCATTCAGGGTAATGCATATTGGAGGCGATGTCTGGAGGTCTGCCCCAACTTCTGCTTGAAGCGGGGCCGGTTACATCAGGCTGCTCAGGACTTTGAGCATCTCTGAGGTTGGATATTCCCGACCTGTGTGGGCTCCTGTTCCAGTATCTGACCACCCTCACGGACAAGATTTATTTATTTCTCTTTATATCTAGTCAAAATATCTGAGGCTGAATTTGTGCTTTTGTCACTCTACATCCAAGAATCATCTGGCTCCATCTTCTCTACACCCTCCCATTAGATGGTTGCAGACAGTGGTAAGATGCCCCTTGATCTTCTCTCCCACTGTGCAAACCCAGATCTCAAATGTCCCATCTTTCAGCTTAGTGGTCCCACTGCGGCCCCTCTCCCATTTGTCACAATCTACTTGGTACTGGAGAGCCTGAATTGGACCCAGTGCCTAGATGTGGCCTCACCAGTGCTGAACAGAGGGGAAAAATCACTGCCACCTGCACCCGAGACTGAGACAACCCAGGATACAGCCATCCTTCTCCACAGCATAGGCACCCATCTCCCACCCACCCATCAGGACCCCGATGCCCCCACGGAGACGGCGCTGAGTAGGATGCAGGTCCTGGCTCTCCTTGCCCTTCTCACCTGTCCTAAACTTGTTGTAGGTCCCGCTTTCCAGCATCGGGCCACCGTCATGGGCACAGCAGGAGAAACTCTGCTCTCGCCACCTGCGTGGAACGAAACACCCGGGGGTCAGGCCACCACTTGCTGTGGTTCCCCCCGCAGCACCCTGGTGCCCTGGACACCTTTTCTGTACTTGGTCAAGGCAGGAGCTGCCCTGGTATTTTGTGATTTGCTCAGGTCTTTACCGAGAAGGATAATGAAGGGTAAGTGCACGAGTGATGTCTAAGCATCCACACTTCACGTGTGCAACAGCATTTTGAAGGCAACTTTGTGACTAAGCCTTATTTTCTAAGAAATATTGAAGCACTCAAAAGCCCCAGAAATGTTTGCAGCCACTGATTCCTAAGCAGCCAGGGGGATTTAAAAATTGTGATTTTGGTGCATTCATAAACCAGGTAAACAAAACCACGCAGGGCTCTCGGGCAGTGCTGGTGGCCCTTTGCTCCCAGCAGCGCTGGGAACGCCCTTGCTCCAATGCCAGCCCAGAAGAGGTTGCTACTTGGCTGGATCAGAAGCATCTGCAGGACCCTGGGAAATGCAGACACAACGTGACCAGAAGGAGGAGACAGACACGGGAAGGTCTGATGGTGGTGGTGATGCGTTGCAGGGGTGATTGCGAATCACCCTGCGACCTGCAGCCACTAAAGCAGGACCTGAGGAGAGCAGGGCAGGGTGAGAGGGGAAGGAAGGGAAGGAGCCGCTTTGCCTTGGGAAGGGAAAAGCCTGGATGCCCAGCAAACATGCCATACTGCTGCTAGTTCAACACCTGGCCATACTGCTAATTCATTTCTTCACCATCCCAGAGAAAAATTAGAGCTTCCACTCTTTCCTATTCCAGAGCAAGTCACGGTTACAAGCAATCCAGACTCCTTGCCCAGGAGCTTCCCAAATTTTCCCCTTGTTGCCAGCTGTAGCACAGTTGTTCTGCCAGCACCCCTGCAGAAAACACCCCTGGGGTGGCTGGTCTGTTCCTTTCACCCATCCACACCCAGCACCTCCTGCGACAAGAGCACAGGCAAGTTCCTCACCCAGCCGTGGCAGAGCAGAGCACCCCACAGCCCAACCTGACTTGCTGGAGTGATCCTGTTCCATGAACCCCAGGTTTCTCAATTATGGGAAACAAAATGTGGTATTTGCGACACACTCAGAAATTTTCATCCCAGAGGATGGATTGCTTCAGGGGCTTTGGCATACGCAGAGAGACATGGGATGCTCACATATTAACACTGAGAGCTTTCCTCCTAAGTCGGTCCAATGCAACAGTGACTAAATAGTAATAATAGCAAAATCAGTTCCTTTGCCCATCAACTTTGATAACTGGTTTGTGTTACTGTAAATCCGCCATGTCTCCACTGAATCCTGAGCATAGACAATGTCTGAGCTGCCAAAAGGGAAACGGAAAATGTGAGCAAGCAGGAGAAGCAGAGAGGTTTTTGGAGACTGTCAGGGCTTTCTTGTAGCTCCTGAGGGGAAAGGTGACGTTCTCAAGCGTCATTTTAACCCTTCAGATCACCTGAAAGCATCACTTCCTTCCGTCCACCTGGTGCAAAAGATCAGGTTAGGATGGCCATTAGCAACTTGGTAGTTACCAGTGCAGAGCAAAGATGAGCGAGATGAGGAGCACAGAGGTGAGATCTGTCAGGATCCACATGATGTTGTACTGCTGCGGAGTCTGAAAGAGAATGACAGAGGATGTGTCCACCACCAAGGACCCTGAAATATGCAAAAAAGTTGCTGCTCGAATATGGCCATTCAGCTGCCTGGTTTGTATGTGGAGTAACATCCCTCAGGTGTTTAAAGCATTTGGTGGCTACTCAGCAGTGGGTGTTGGTGCCAAATCACCATCCTTCATAAAAACAGGTCTGTTGTGTGGCCAAGAAGATTGTACCACATGACAGTGAATATGACAGGGACCTCTTGTTTGTACAAACAGGCCCTGTAGTTCTCTCTGCTTTCCTCCAACATTAACCTCAACTAGTGGCATCTCATTTTCTCTGGTAAAATTGTCCTTTGGTGAGCGCCACAGAGAGTCTGGGGTGGTTCCTACTTTAAGTCTTGGAGCATCTGAAGATTCATCCTTAGAGTAGACCTCCATCCACCCTCAGAATGAACAGAAACACTGCAATTGTCTGTATGGGAGCTTCGTAATATCAACTTTAAGAGTGTGAAGATGGTTATTCAAAGGAGTAAACTTTAGGCTGCAAGGACTCTGGTAGAACCAGTGCCCCAGCTGCTCCTTAGCCCTACAGGTTGTCCAAGGCAGAATAGAGGACAAAGTATGTGAAAAAAAAACTCCTCCCAGCAAGGAAGGGTTATTTCTATGGTTGTTTCCCTCAGTCTTGTGGAACAAGACCAAGATTGAGAAGGGCAGTGGGAAGCCCTGGAAAATGAGGAACTTCTGACATCCATTAGGTGCTTCAAAAGCTTAGAAATGGAAAACCTCACACATCATCAGCTTGTGTCCTCAAAGACCCTTTGTTTCTCCCCACACAAGTCTCAATATGACTTTTTTTCCTCACATCAAGGCCTAAATTGCAAATCCTAACAAGCAGAGTCCTTCTACCTGAGCCAAGAGAAAAGAGGAGAAATGTATAGTGATACCTGGAGTGGCTTAGAGGTTCCAGGTAAGCCAGGTTCAACTCAGGTCCCTTTTCATGCAAAGGGTCCTGTATCCATACATGAACAGGCCCATGGTCTCCAAAGGTAACCACGAACCCCTGGGAGGGGGAGGATTTTTGCTTACCATGAGGAATAGTGGCTGGCTGAGATTCCTCAGTGTGTGGACGGCATTGGTTGTCACAGAATGTGCCCCGGAGCACCACGCCAGGGAGAAAAGCCATGGCTCGTTGACCACATAGAGATTGGTGGTGATGTTTGCCTCAGCATATTTCCTTTAAAAGACCAAAAGGTAATAGTTAACCAATCCTTAAGTTAAGCCTTAGTTAAGCAAGGATGTTAGTGCTTCCTTTGGGCTGAATCAAGGAGAGACAGCAGTTTTTGGCAGGAAAGGCTTGCTTTAGGACCTAGATCAGGAATAGAAGGGAAAGCCAACCAGCCAATAATAAATCATTCACAACCGGTTAATACAGAAGAGCTGATCCGATGGAAGAAAATGCAGTTAGAATGTCCAAGAAGTCAAAACTTTGCTTACCCTTCTGCCATACGAATCAACGTAATGATGTGCCTGTAATCTCCTAATAGTGTGTTCAAAACCACCATGAAGATGGCTACTCATGTTTCTTACGTTTGCTGCATCAATTCATCATTTTTCAGGTTCTTATAAGCAATTGAAACTTAATATGAAGTAAGATCATACTCTGAATAATGGTAAAGGAATTTATCATCAATATCAGCATTTGTAAATCTACCTAGGTTCTATCCAGGGTTCACCCAAATGGATCTACCAGATCCACCTAGGATTTTACACCCTGTGAAAATTATCACTGAGGAAACACGAACATTACTCTCATCCAAAGGATTAAAGTTTTTCTTTTTTTCTTTTTTTTAATTAGATTTCAATGGTTTTGTCCACTGGAAAGAGCAAAAGAATCCTATTGACAAGAGTCTGACAGGTAAGACTGCTTTTTCTTTTTTCTTTTTTCTTTTTTTTTTTTTCTTTCATATGAGAGAACCATTTTGGAAACTGCTGCAAAGAATGTGGAGCCTTCCATTGGAGAGATGACATCTTCAGTGTGTCACAAGCAGCAGAGTACTGGTAGTAACAGAGACAAGAAATGAAGTCTCCAAAACACCAGCTACAAGAGCGTGATGGTCTCTCACCACAGCATTATGCACTCATACTGATGCTTGTGGAAGAGCCACGGGAGATTAAATAATTGTTCGTGCATGAGGCAGAGGATGTCATGAATAGAAAGACACACAGCCGTGTTATTCTACCCAGAAGATCCTCAGATCCTGACCAAGTAAATATGGACTTGAGCACAGGGAAGGGTGTGATTACATATGCCACCTCTTGGCCACACACAGGGTCGGGGTGAACTACAGTCCTTCACTCCAAAATTGCAGCCAGGACGGATGGCCACTTGATCTAAAGGAGCTCTTCCCAAAATGCTAATAGATACTGGAGCTGGTCACTGGAGGGAGACATTGCCACACGCATGATGCGAACATAGTCCAGATGCAGTCCACCGGCTGTACTTGGGGTTGAAACTGCAACCTACCTAATATCTTCACTGGACATCTCGGTGTAGGCCAGATTGAGTTTGACAATATTGTCCATCAGCAGGTCTTCAACTGGGGCCTTACTGCCCACTGTCTGCTGAAACCCAGGAGCAACGGATTGAACAAAGGACCTCATGTCATTCTCCAGCCACAGGACCTGGCAGGCAACAAGAGGACCCAGTGAACTCACAGCAGACATACTAATATGCCCTGCCCTTCACAAAAACCCAGCAAAGATAACATCTTGAGGGGCTTAACCCAGCCTGTCAAATGACGTGTTCCTTTCAATGATCAAAGAACATTTGGATGCAGGGTTAAAACTTGCAAGCCGCTTTCATCGGGAAATAACTATTCACTGTTCCTTGCTTATCAGCTTGAAATCAGGGAGTACGTTTCACACAGCCCAACAAAAGATGCGGTGTTGGAAATGAATGAAAAGACAGCTTTGGTTTATGGGAACGGCAACAGAAAATATTCTGTTCTCCCATTCTCCTAGCATGGGAGAAGACATCTTGTGCAGACACTGATCAGAATATCTCCCCGGACGCCGATGGGTACATAACCAGATCCACAGGAGTTTAGCACTCATCCATTGCCTGGGGAAAGAGGAAGGCAACGAAGGCTCCCAGCTCCATGTATTTTAATTTAAGATAGGATTTTTGTTATGCAATACATAAAATAACTGGAAGCAGGCTGCCAGTTATTACCGTGATGAAAGGATGCCGTTAGGGGACTAAGGCATCAGCGGGTGTATACACTGGGTTATCTCCCTGTGCTGCTGTAGGGTTACACCATTTTGTACCTGCTGAAAAGAACCAATTGTAGGAATATACTCCAAATGATGCCTCTTAAAACAAGTGAAATGCAAGGGGCCATACTTTATGCAGGTGAAATCATGCAGGGTATGACCCCAAAGTCCCAATTGGGAGAGCAAGAAGCAGGGATATGGAGGAGTTGAGGCCACCCTACCAGATTGGGTCTAATTCCCGACTCGTTGAGGATGACTTCCAGGGTTCTGTTGATCCACGAGTTCCTGTAAGGATGTTTCTCTGGAGGGCGGTAGAGATCAAATATCACAAGTTTGTTCTGACTGTCTGCAAGGCGCAAGAAATTACTTAGCTTGTAAATTGACTGATTCATTGCCTGGTTTTGATCTGCCCTTGACAGTGAGCCCATGCATGAAAATGGTTTGTCCTAGAAATAAGCAAATATTAAAAAAAAAAAAAAAAAAAAAAAAAAAAAGCAAGTCAATCAGGCAGTTGCCTCAGGGAGTCAGCTGCATGCAAAATACTCATACCTCTAAGAGGGAAAAAGTTTGACATCAGCCCTCAGCAGTTGAGGATGTTTTATTTTTCTTAACTCTTCTACCTGGGAAACAGGGGAAATTAACCCACTGCTTCTGGGACCTAAACTGCATAGTGCACAGCTAGCTCTGCTGTGTTTCTCTGTCCCACCGTGTTAGCTGTGATTATTATACACAGCATCTTGCACGAGTAGCTCTTGTCTTCTTCCCCCAGCCCATGTGTTCTTGTTGCTGCAATAATAAGGAGCCACGGGAACACTCACCAGCTAACTGGTTATAGGTCTCCTAAGCCTAAAGGCCAACTGGATAAAGCAAGGAGACCCCAACTGAAGGATTTCTATCGACTTCGAGTTTTGTTTCAACCAGTAGTCTCTCTCCTAATACTCATGTTATTAAGTAGTAGCCTGCTGGTGTCTCTTCTACATCCAGTTGATGATAGTCCTTTATGGCACTTACCTTAAGGAACCACATTCCAGCATTCAGCTCCTGGAGGGTATCCCAGGAGAATAATGCAGCATTTTGAGTAGTATCATTGGGGTAGACCTCCTTGATGTTAGTTGTCCTCCTCAAGGTGCTGTCATGCATGAGGAAAGGAACCCCGTCATAGCTGTTGGAGAGCAAGAGATCAGGTCACCTGGGGCGTGGGTTCGTTCATGGCATGAGCAGAGTCATGCCAGGTCGGAAGAATATGTGGGCCACCGTGAATGTAGCAGCACAGACTCCCTCCGTGCAGAGGGTGGGAAAGGGAGGAAGGCTGAGGATGAAGATACCAGGTTATTTCCAGCTTAAATACTGCTGGGTGACCTTGGAAAAGTCATGCCTGTCTGTGCCTCAGTTTCCTCAGGGGAGAAGTGAAGATTGGTGGCATTTATGCCTGCTAGCTCCCTAGAAAATGGATAGTAACTTATGAAACCTCTTTTTGCTGACACCAAAGTGTTTGTATGGGTTTCAGAGGACTGAAATCAAAATGGACATTGATGGTAAAGCAAAATTTTCTCTCAGAGAAAGGTCTACACCAGTAGAACATCTAAGCGTTAGTATTTTTCTCATTCAGTGGCTGCAAACTGCTCATCCTGCACAGGGTGTTAAAAATTCACAGCAATGGATTCCCCAAACAAAGGCAATTAAAGATCCAATAATTAGGACAACTCTGTCACAAGTCTGAATACAATTTTCTGTTAGTTTGTAGGCCTGATACAACCCTCACTGTGGCCTGGAAGTCAGGCTAGGGTAGGGACTTGTCTTTATACTCTGCAAAGCATTTAAAATATACCATAGAAATAATGATTGTTAAATCAATAGCTACAGCTTATTGACTTGACTGAGAACAACCATGCCCTACAGCGCCTATCATCACACACCAGCTGAGGGACCCTTGTCCCAGCCATCAGTAAAACCTAACTGCCTGGGGCTGCATGTCTCCAAAGGCAGCTCTTAGAAGCAGCAGAGTATACTCTGTGAGATCAGGTGGTTTTGCCTTACCTAATGGTGACATCTGTTTCAAGACCATCCCCACCATATTCAATTGTCTTCTGAAATGACATCTCAGTATTTTCTGGTGCCAGCTGAAAAAAAAAAAAAAAAAAAAAAAAAAAAAAAACCACACGAGCAGATTATTTTCAGGCACACTCTGGAGGACTGCAGAAGTACTTTCTGTCTCTTTGTAATACCTATGGTTTTTATTAAGGGAACATCATTATCTTGTTAAAGTGTACTGTTTGTTTTCTTCCACTTTAGCCCCCAAACCCTTCTTGTCCCTCGGGAAGCGCGTTATCCTTGTTAGTAAACCCATGCAGTGATGTTTTTTACGTGCAGTCCCAAATGGAAATATCTCCCCTTCCACCCTCCACAGATCTCATGAGGAAAAAAAAAAAACAAAAACAAACAAACCAGAAGACGATGATGAAGGTAGCAAGATACAGGATGAAGAAACGATGTAAAATAACTTCTTCAGACCTACCATTGGTGCTCCACGGTGTCCAATGAGGGCTGGCTTTGGTCCAAGTGTCCCCATCTCTCTGATGCAAGGAGAGTACATTCCCAGAGGTATCAAGAAAAGAAAGAGAAGGATAGCCAGGTATGGACCAACAATTATCACCTGAACAACTGAAAGAATTTGAAGGAGGAAGGCTAGAGTTAATTCATATAGTAGTGTACAGGTTTGCCTTGCAGCTTGACTTTCAGTACAGCCCTCCAGCTAAGTAGCTGTTGGGTTTTGTCCCATCCCTTTTTCCATCCCTCCTTCCCCTAATTTTCACTTTCTCTCCAAACAGCGCGACCCAGAAAAACAACGTCAAAGCACGGACGTGGGATGTCTAAGTCAAGTCTGCGGCCTCTGTGCTTTAATTACATCTCACTATGCCTCACAACAAGACATGCCCTTCATTTCTTTTTCTTTAGAGGTAGTGCAGTGAAATATCCCCCATCTGTAGAAAAACAATCCTCAACAGAAGGATGCTAATTTTTTTCATACTCAGATAACAAGCAACATTTTGAAGTTTCGTTCACAGTGAAGAGGAGGAGGAACCTTTCTCCTTCAGCCTTAAGATGAATACTTCCCTGGTTCGTTCAGATTGCTGTCAGTGACCTTCTGAATGTGACCTACGGAATCCTACACTCTGACTGCACGGGTATTGACTCTCAGAAACTCTCCAACTCATTACCTACAGTCTTCTCTGGAGTCTGTTGACACATTGCCCAAGAGCCCCAGCGAGCCTTCACCTCAGGGAACAAAACAGTTCCTCTGAGAAATGAGTAACTATGCACCAACATCTCTTTCTTGAGTGGGTACCGCCACCCCTCTGCACGTTGTGACAGTGGCTCTGGAGGAACCTGGGCTTACACCAAGCTGATGTATTGAGCCGAGAGTCCATTAGGCATGGTGGACTGCAATGTCTCGGGTCCCAGCATATTCCCCCTCCAACCTCCTCAGCTGTAGTTCGATAAGAAAAATCCTGAGCAGGAAAAGATGCTTTCACCAGCCTGTTCAGTCTGTGATTTTTATTACAAATCAGTATCTGTAGGTGGGTGTCATGTAGATAATTTTGGCTATATGAAGAGGCTAGGTCAGACAAAAGCAGTCAGTCCCAGAGCCAGGCTCTTCTGCAGTTGCTCCTGGCATCTGGCCTTGTCCTTAGACTACTTGGTCACACTTCTCGGAGGAGGACAGGAACTTCCCACGAGGTAACACTAGGAACTGATCAAAAAGCTCTCTCCTCTCTCTCAGCTGTCTTCTCCTGAGATGCACTAGTCTGGAGTGGATCAGCTAGACTGGAGACCCATTCTGGGACAGCAAACTGAGTATAGCAAGCAAAGGTCAGCCAAGAGAGCTGCCACTGGCTGCTTTCTCCTGCAGAGGGCTGAACAAATCTCCATGCGTGACTCAGAACACGGGCACTTCTGCTGATCTCCTCGGTCTCAAGGCAGGTCACTGCCTTGGTATAGGCCAAAACTGTGCGAGGGAACATGCAAACCAGTGACGCGCCTGGACAGCCACAGGACAATGCACAGTCCGCTCCCCAGCCCCGCTAATTTTCCTGGGATACACAGAAGTTAAAAGCCTCCTCCAGGAGGAAAGGGCTCCTGCACATCTGTTTTCCCACACTGATATAAGTCTTTTGTCGTATAGGGAGCAGGAAGCAGAGCTACTGTACCTTTCTTATGTGCTCTGATGGTGTGAAGAGCCACGGGCCAGGACAGGAGGACCATGATGGTTATTGCCCCTATGTGGAGGTAGGGAGCTGTGATCTGGCAAGGAGAGGGAAAGATTTTGGTCAAAGAATGAAGTGCGGAGGCAGATGGAAACAAACCCCAACACAGCTACAGCTTTCCACCTGGGTGGGCTCCTGCTGCAGATACCAGCACTTCAACCTCTCTCCCACACCTGTGTTGGATCCGACAAACACCTCCGGAGTTGGAGGAGAGATGTACGCCCCCAGCCAGGCCAGCACCCCAGGCTGAGGAGTGCTCCCCACTGCACTACACAGCTCTCCTTTCTGCTAAGGCAGCTGAGGGCGACATGGCTGTCCTCGTCCACGAGGACACGACTGCCATCCCGGCTATGCCATAATCTGTAATTATCTTCCAGGGAGCAGCCAGTTTAATCCAATCTAACCCAAGCCAATCCCACCCGGGTAATATTCATCTCAATACCACACTGCAGCTAAATCATTAAACTGATGTCAACAAACCTGAGTGATAAAATGTGGTATTTACACCTGCATGGAACTAACTGCTGTGGTATAAGAGAAGCAGTTAATCTGGTACATGCCTGATCACAGAATTTATTAGGCTCATATACACCCTGCAGTACCTAGTTTCACATATTATCAATGTATGCCAGAAAAATAATTAATTTTCATTTATTACAAAGCATTCAATTCGCTTGCATTAGGGCTAACTGCATTTTTTTCTCTCTTTTTTTTTTTTTTTTTAACTTGCAGTTCAACGTGTAGATATTTTTCTTGATTTACTAACACAAAACAATATATTCATTTAATATTTATGATATATTAGATGATACCTATTACTGGACAGATATAATAAATGGACTTGATTTCTTTCATCCTAAAGATTAAACGAGAAGATCAGAAACCAAGAATCACTTCTGTGCTCATCATGAATGCATGAGCAGAGCTGGAAACCAAGCAGAAATAGTTTGTCAGTTGTAGATACTGAACGGGTGTTGGTATGACACACTTTTCATAAAACTAGGCAAATTTGTCAGAGAAACCAGTCCACTGTTTTCTCATGCTTGTCAGAACCCCCTGGTTTCTGTTCCAGCTAGAACTGAGAGTTATTAAGGTATGTGCTAGGAGAAAAACTATCCAGATGAAAGCTTTTCCTATTGCTTAGCTCATGCCTGTTTCTCTAAGATGGAAGGGTTGAAGGAAGCAGCGGGTATTGTACGTGATACTGCCTGCCCTGGACACTTGATACCAACACCTTTCTATCAGAAGCAGGATTCAGTTGCGTAAGCAGAGGTGCCATCTGAGATGTCCGGGATATTTGAGATAGCTTTGCAGGGCTAATGGACATGACACAGGACATACAAGAGATTCATGTCCTTTGGGAACAGGAGCAGGAGGCCATGTGAAGCATCTCAAAGGACACGAACACCCAAAAGAAACAGCACCAGTGGGGAACCTAAAGGCTCTTGTGTCTCCTTCTCCTCATCCACCTCCCCTGGAGTCTCTAAGAGGGAGAAGTTGATGGTTTCTCATCACCTTTGCCAGTGCATCGCCCAACGGTTAACAAACTCTGCAGAGCAGGAATGTGCAATTAACCACACCCTACAAACACCACATCCATGATTCCTCTTCCAGTCCACATCCACTGCTCTGCCAACATCCACAAGCAGTAAGACACATGGAGGAGAGGTGACAGGCCCAAATAACATCTGCAAGGCAGTTGTGTAGTCAAAGGCTACATACTTTTTCCTCCACAATACATGTGGGGACCTGGATGCTCAAGCTCTAAACAGCACCAGGCAGCTCTTGCCTCCATCTTCAGATGTGGTGAGAGTTGAGGGGACCAGCAGACCATGCACCCTGACCTCTTGCAAGCAGCATGTTCTCCCACCTGACACCAGCATTCCCTACCTGCTCCCCCAAAAATTCAGTGCAGTCCTGCCTCAGGAGATGAAGCTTTTGTGAGTCACAGAAGACCGAAATTGTTCTAATGCTAAAGCTGCTGAGGTGATTAGGGAGACAGTTCTTGCTTCAGCAACACTACCAGCCAAAGGGATCTGATTTACCTGCCCCGGGCACATGGAAATTAACAGTACACCTACAATATTTTTGAAAAAAAAAAAAAAAAAAAAAAGTGACTTCCCAAACTGAGACATATTACATCAGATAGCTTGAAACTCAACCATGGGTCTTGTCTTCCTTTCTCCTAACAGGGACTGTTAAGTCATAATAAAAGTTTACCCCAAACTATGTACCCTGCCAGGAAAACCCATGTGAAAAACACCCACCATACAGAATATTTTCTACTAATTACCGCAAAATACTTCTAGAAACAAGCTGCTCTTTCAAACAGACCTCCCAGCCTCTCTTACCTGAAACGACAGGCGGACAGTTTTCCACTGATCTCCCCAGAGTACCGATAATATGAAGAGGGCTGTGATAGAGAAGCCCAGGACAAGAAAAGTCCCAATCTGGAGAGACAAAGAAGACATAAATCAGCTTCAGCTTTTCTGCACAGGGTGTGCCATCCATTTGACTCACAGGCTTATTTAAGCAGCTCAGACTTGGTAAGTTTACGATGCGCGAGCTGGACTGCGCCAGTTCAGAGAGATCCAACGAGACTAAAACCAGACCAACAGTGCTATGGACTGGATTTTCTGTATGGCAAGACTGATCTTAAGTGTTGGGTACCCAACTAAGTCAGCCCTCAGGGCTCGCTCTATAATAATTGGAGAAAGAGGGGAATTTCCAGAGGTGAACCATTCCTGCTTGCTTTATGATGGAAGATGCCTCTCTCTCTCTTTTGATGTAGATGGAGCCTAGATGATCAGTTTACATTAAATTCCTGACCTGCGGATGGCTAAATTCAGAAGGGGTGAATTCCACCCAGAAGAGACAGCAACACAGCTTCCTTGTGCTATGAGCTGCTCCGCAACAGGCTTCAGCAACAGCACACACTCCCGTAATTAAGAGATGAGAGGTCACTTTTTAACTACAAATGTGAGGAGGTAGCTCAATCTATTGTTCAGCTTCTTGCTCAGTTTGGTACCAGCACAGTGGTGTTGGCAGGCTCTTCTTGGTACATCATCTATCTGCTGGGAACTAAGTGCAAGTAGAAATTGGACCAAGGCCCTAACCATTCTTCAGGGGGATGCTATAGATCAACACCTGAATAATTCATCCTTAATCTCTTCCACCCAAGGATGCAGTCTCGATTTTTTTTTTTTTTTTTTTTTTTTTTTTTTTTTTTTTTTTTTTTTTTTTTTTACAAATTGTTCTACATCTTTCTGGTTCTTCTAGAAGCCAGTTTTCTATAGTAACAATGAGTCTGTTTCCATTACTTAAATGAAGAAACACAGGATCAAATAACTGCATGTTCAGCGAGACCCTTCCACTTTAAGATTTGCAATCGCATTGCAATCTCCCCTAAACTGCATGGCTAGAGGCTGATTTTTAAATGCCTTGGCCTCAAGAATTCTTGAGGAAGGTGATTCTAATGCATCGTTCTGCAGTGACAACTCTCTGAGGATTTGTTTCTGCACCTTCAAAACTCCAGGTGGCATTTCCCAAGCCACCCAAAAGGCATAAGGCACCGGGATGCCTTCAAAAAGCCAGATTTCTCTTCTGCAGGGACAGCGACCACTTTTTTCACTGCTGCCGGAGTCTGCTGCAGAACATTATGCTGTGCTTCTCATGAAGACTTTGCTTTTGTCCTCATGTTAACACTTGTAGACATGTCAAATATAGGCGTCTTCACCTGAATGAATCATTGCAGACTCCTTCTAGAGTCAGAGGGGAAAAAAAGGTACTTTAGTTGTGATTCATCTCATCTTAATTTAGATGTCTCTGACCAGCTGGATGAATTGCATCCTCGGAGGATTCATTTCCCTCCACTGACTACAAAGGGAGTTCAGGTGGAGATACCATTTTTGTGGGTATCTAAAGTCCCCTAAGATTAACCTCTTTCCTCCCTTCTTTCCCATAACAGAAGATGTTTTTTCATGCAGAGAAACACCACAAACTCAGTTGATTTAAAGCATGGATTAGAGTTACCAGAAAGCCTTGACTCTCCCCACCTTGTGACTCCAGTGTAGGTACAGCTGCTGACCTTCTGCAAGCAAACACATCGCTAGGACCTGGGAAATCAAGAATAGATTGTTTGCATCCTGGTAGAAGATGATGAAGTGTGTTCAGTGAGGTGGTTCTGGCATCATTTTTGCATTGGGAAGTCACTTTACACTACGACTTCCTGCACAATATCAAGGCTGTTAGCAGAACAGTTGTATGGAGAGAAGTGTTTATTGCTACAGTAAAAATACTTCTGAAATGGCCAAGGAGATATCAAGGGTGCCCTGCAGGATCATGGGTAAAATTGGGCACTTTGGGGCACCACTTTCAATGACTTTTCTTTGTAAGTACAAACTCTAAAGAGGAATGATGGCCAGGGTTAACTGCTATGGTATGACTCAATACAGCGCTAACCTTGCCTATTTTCTGTGCACTGCTTGTGATTAGAGTCAAATCAACCACGGGAGAGAGGTCAGGGAATAAAAAAAATGCCTCCAAAGCACCACCAAAAATACAGAGCAGACAGCAAAGGAGACAACGCTTCCACAGTAATTGCAGGAAACACAAGAGACAGGCACATCTCAGAACAGGGAAAACTGCCTTGGAGATTAAAAGACTGGTTTTTGGTGACTGGCACATTTCTTCCCTCCAATGGCAAGTTGGAGCTCTTGGGGGTGGTTCCTGTGAGGCATGGCACACCCCAGCCAGGGCAGCACACAACCGCCCTCAACACCAGGAAGCAAAGGATGAGGAAAGCCAGTTCACAGCTCTGATGGAGAGTTTCTTCAAGTTGTCCCAGACCTAAGCAACCAATGAACCCGGAGATGAATTCCACCAAGAGAAGTACGTTTCTGCCATGAAAATGCACAGGTCTGTGCTCAGGAATCTTGGTGCCTGGGACAAGCTTCCTGACCACTGTAAGGGACAGTTTGGGGACCAGTATCACAAAATATCAGGATTTAGAGAAAAATATCTATTAGTAGCCATCAGTGCTCTGATGAGAAGGATTATTTATGATGCCGGCACCTCCAGACTGTAGGACAGTGGGATTGTATAAAAACAGGACCTATAGATTTATGGGAAGAGGCTCTTCTATCCCAAAACACAACTACGAAAAATGTAAGCCGTTTCCCATCCAGCTAAAATACACTCTCTTTCCAGGATCATGCTGATTTGAAGCAAGATATAAGCACAGCAGAGAATACAGATCAACTTTCAAGTGCTTCTTGACATGTTAGCCTCCTTTAATCGAATCCTACACCCAGCACATGATGAGTAACCATGGGAGCAGTTCACAGAGAACTGAATTACTGCTAAAGATCTTAAGCCAGCCCCATTTAAATAAGCTATTTCAGAAAAAAAAAAAAAAAAAAAAAAAAAAAAAAAAAAAAAAAAAAAAAAGAGACACTTTTGCCTCTTTCCCGCAAGCAATATTATACAAAGACCTATCCTTGCCTAAGGTACAGACAAGTACTTATTTCACAGGTCATGCTCTCCCCTGCTGCTGTAGTACAACTTTTGTATGAATGATGCATCACATCTGGGAATGTCATCGGCGGGTGAGCTCATTTTTATGGATGTAAACAATATCTCCTTATCAGCTTACAAGAAGAATAACCTCCAGGTTTCATCCTTGGAGGGTGAAGAAGGAACTCGTGCAGTTGCACCGCTGATCACTGTAGAACACATCTTGCTGGACCAGTGATGGGATGTCATGTGCACCCCTGAAGTTAAACACCCCAAGGCACAGACACCCAGCCTCATCCTGCTCCTCAAAACCCGCCTCAGGACCCATCCAACAAGCTTTTCCACAGAGAGCAGCTGCCTTTAGCAATGTCCCACATGCTTGCACCTAGAACAGGACTTCCTCAGGCAAAGGGACAACCATCACCAGCAGATCTGTTCCTCCAGACTGCTTCCATGCGTATTCGGGGATTGTCTGATACAGGTGCACAGACATGTGGGCTTAGGTGACCGGTATGTTTCTGACTAGAACTGCTGAGCCTAAAGCCAAGGCCCCTCTTGCCAGTGCCATCATCTCTCTGAATCTTACAGCCTCCAACACTTGAATTCTTCTCTTCTTTAGTATGAGGTGTGGAAGTGCTTCCCCTCCACCATCTACCCGCAAAGTGGCAGTTAAGGGATGCTTCCCATGGCAAGACAGATGGATTCACTGCAAGGAGGATTGCGCCTCTGTCTCCTTCTTTCTGAGTAGATGCACTGACCACAAGATTATGCTGCAAAAGGATGAACGATAGATGCTTAACCCCACTCTACTTCGACATGGGAATGAATTTGTACTTATTTCAGTACTGCTGGTGAGGCTTGGGCAGGCTCTGAACCTACTGCCACAAGGACGTGGAGGTAGGCACTCAGCTCACCTGAAACATCTGCTCACTTAGCTGTTCACAAGAGCAGAATCCAGGTGCTTACATTCACTTTCTGGCAAAAGTGCAGCAACTCAGAACTTGTCTGGTACCCTAGACACTTAGGGATGGAGGTTTGAGATCACTTTTTGAACTTCAGTGCCAATGTACTATTTTGAGTTTGCTCTTAGCTTACGAATTGACACAACACATCTGAACCTCTTCGTACAGTCATGAGGCACCTCCCCAAAACCCTTAGAACAAACATGGTTGAACTGCGGCGAGAAAAATACCATGTTTGAAACACTGAACAAGAAAAGGTTTTTTTCTTCTCCACTGAGCATGAATGGTCCTGCAATTAGACCCCTCAGCTTAACCTTTTAGCTCTAATGGGGATGAGAAAATTGTCTTGGGGAGTGATAACAATTGAATTAATTGAAATTGATTGTCTGAAAAAATTACAATGATGCATGTGGACGGAGAGCGTCTTTGTACAGACAGCAAGTGCTTTTTTTCTGCAGCATTTTGTTCAGCTGCTGGTGGCTGGTGGGCAGGAGAGTGTTTGCTTCAGTGGTTCACAATAAGGTCATGGAAGTAGGCTTGCAGGGTTGGGTGGGTGCTATCATTAAGGAAGGGGGTATGGTGCACACAAACAAAACCAGACCAGATGCTGGTTGCTATAAAATCTTTAACAAAGGCATCAGGGTGCTCAGCTTTCTGATGTGATGGGCTGCTGATGCAAAACATCACAAGGAAACATTGCCTGGGTGAAGGTCTCCAGTCCTTCCTGCAACACATGTGGGGATAGTCTCCATCCAACACTATTCAACCAGGACATAGGATGTAATTCACTGTGGGGGCAATCTATACGGCCATCAGTTATCTGAAATGTGTTAAAGCAATCCAGCTATCATACGCTACAGCACTGGCAGATTAATTTAGATGCGAAAGGGCTGAGTTGCACTTGTGAGGCTCCCAGTGTTTTGCTGGGTGGTTCATTAAAGGCTACAGTGAAGGGTCAGACGCTGTGACAGGGAAGGTCTGCAAACAGCGATGGAGGGGCAATCCCTGGTAGAGTCTTTCTCTGAAAGGAGCCCTGCTGGGGCGAGCATTGCCAAGCCACAGTTGTCGTCACAAGACCCTGCATGCAGGCATGTGACCATCATGTGACTCTACATGTTTTTGAGATAGTGGGAGCATGAATGGTGGTGGTGATTACTTTTCTCACTCCCCTTTCCTTCCAAACTTAATCCTATTTAGGTAACGGCTCTGGTGGCATGGGGCCTCATGCCTCCCAACACCCACGGCTCAACACAGATGCATGCAGCAGTCTTTCCAAATGAGACACGATGACATGGTGATGCAACCAAAGAGGGCAAGGGCAAAACACTCGTCGTGTTTCTAATATTTCCAAGGCATCCACTGTCTAAAGATCTTATGTGGGGCTAGCCTGAGCTTTGGTCTGACACAGTAAAGCCATTCCTATGTTTACTTTTTACATCTATAAATCATGGTCAGCCTACAAGGAACTTTACTTACCAATAAGAGCGTGATGTACATAAACAAGATTGCAGCTACAATAAGGAGAACGAGAGACCAGAGAAACCAGAAGCCCAGGTTCCCATAGTTATACCTAAAAAGCAATAAAACATTATAATAGTGTTTGTGTCTAGCACATGGACTGGAGGGGAACAACAGCCCCGTTCTTTGAAATTTTGAAATTTGTAGAGCAATACAACGACTAGGGAAGGAGGGATAACAGAGTCTGTAACATGCGAAAGTGGTTGAGAGCCTCCTTCCCCAAATCCATGATTGCATTAACCACCAGACTAACACCTCAATGTCCTGGGGGGGTAAAATACAGGACCAAATTGATAGCTTTGCTCCAGAGAACTCCCGGTCTGACTGTAAGACACAGCACCTTGCTGCAGACAAGGCAGCCTGGGGAAACAGTAAGATGACATAACTCAGGCCAACAGCCCACTTTGTCTGCCTGTGGTTGTGTAGGGCGCTGCAGAAAAAAAGGAGATTTGAGTCAGGTTTTGAAGCAGAAAACACCAGAAAGCTGGAGGAGCTGCAGAGGGATTGCCCAAGGAGAGAGAAGGGGAAGCTTTACCTTTTACTCATAAGCCTAATAAGGATGAATAAAATGAGTACACCTTCCCTCCCCATAATAGTTGAGATGTTTAAATTTAATTCTAGGGGCCAGATTTGCATAACTGTTACCTACATACTGCAGAAAGAAAGAATTTGCATAAATCCCCCGCTGGTTATTTCTTACTTTGGAGCCTGGGAACATGCAATGCTCTTTGCAGTGAGATAGCTGGTGCAATGCCTCTGACGCCAGTCACTATACTTCTTTAGAGGGAATAGGGTGGGGAAAAAGACTCAGACAAGGAAAGGAAAGAACTATTTAGTCCCCTTCACTCACAACTTCTGTGATAATGATTCTCCCCTTTCTCCCAAATTCGCACTTACACTTAAAAACTGCAGCCAAGAAAAGGGCAGAGCCTCAGCACCTCTGAAGTCACCGAACATTCAATTTGGATGCTGTAACCAAGAGTTTGAGGAACCAAATCTTTGGCTAAAGTGCCCTGCTGCAGGACACACGCCGGGGATGGTGCTCAGCTCTTCCCAGCCACCCTGGGGACCTGCCCGAGAAGCAGAAAAGGAGGAAAAAATGGTACTTACCAGTCAAAGTTATTGTAGTCATTTTTAGCTTCACCCCACATGTACAGAAAGACCAGAGAAAAGCAGAAAGCTCCAACAAGCAGTGGGAAAAACACGCATTCCCGCTGGAGAGGGTGAGGAAAGACAAGTGGTCAGAGCCTTGGCTACCCCAAAGCAGTCAGAGCAAATGACAGATACTTTCAGGGTGTTCCTAAAGCACGTGGCATGGCGTTGGACCTCCTGAAGTAAATATGGAGACGACTTCCCTCCCTGTCCCTGTGACCAGGGGAATGTCCTCAAAAGCCTACTCCGGGGTATTTATTTTCAGGGAAAACAGATCTCATGGCTTCACAAATGAACAGGATTTTAACCTCTTCACAAGAGAGGGAATCGCGCTATGCAGCAGCCCTCTTTGCAATTCTTACTGCACACGCATCCCAAATTTTACTTTAATTTGATGCTATGGCTTTGAGATGTTTCACTGGCTGGGAGGGTTTGGTGCAAGGTCCTTTTCTACCCCCACACATCTGTTACCTGCGTGATGGCACAGACAAACTGAGCTTGCCACAGAAACACAGCGCTACATCAAGCACTTGGGGCAAAAACTAACAACCCGACAGATCTTGGGTACAAGACCTCAATCACTTGGCATCTTGGACTGAGCTGTCCCTACACAGAAGTCAATGTTTGTGCTGATTTTGAACTAATGTACCGTCTTGCAGCAGCATTTCCCAGGCTCGGTCCTTCTGCGCTGGTACCGCTTCCACCGGCAGCTGTAGAAACCAGCCAGGCAGGAGATGAAGGGCTGATGCTCATACCTCTGCAGCAAGCGCCGACGTACCACCTTCAGCTTCCCAAACTTGAGCCTCTTGAGGCTGGTGGAACTGGCCTCCATCTGAGTGGCTTTATCTCATCTTCCTCCTGAAACGAGACCACAAGTTTTATGGGGAGACTGTAACCCTCCTTTCCTTTTGGGTAAGATTTTCATATCAGAAAGAAAAGATGAAGTTTTCTCATCAGGACCAGCAGGAAAGGGTGCTGAGGACATCCCATTTAATTGTATATACCAAAGTGGGATGTCTAACAGAAAAGCATGGTCATTGCAAGCCCTGTCAGCAGTCAGTGGTACTCCTGGTTGTAACTTAGGTAATCCGAATCACCTCTTAGGAAGCCTCCACCTCGTTTTGACTATACAGGGGGCTTTGGAAAATGAAATCACCAACTTAAGCAATCCATGAAGATTCTCAGATCATGTCAGATGAAGCTGAGCCTAGACTTAGCCATGGGAATCGGTTCAACTTCACGGTGACCTGTCCACAACCTGCTACCAGTTTAACTAGTTCACGTAGGGAAGAGACTAACACTCTCCAGGTAAACATCTCTCTTATCCTGGCAACATCTCTACAGCACTGCAGAGACTGATCCCTTAGGAAAAAAATATTTCCTGACTTAAAGACCTTTATTTAGCACAGTTTTTCAAGGGTGGAAAGAGTAGCTGTAAAGATGCACACGTGGGAGATCTCTTCATAATCGAGATTTTAAACAAAGAAGTTGGTGGTAAATTGCAACCAATGTAGTAAACAGCAAAGCAAACAGCACAGGAGTTTGTGCCAGCAAAGAGCAGCTCACCCAGCAGGACACTATCAAGACTGCAGAGAAAGTTTTAGAAAAAAAAAAAAGTCTTGTGTGGGCATACAAAGAAGCCCCATTATCCAGCACTTCTTTAGAGTAGAGATATCCAGCAACGTTTTTCTGTTGCATTAAAAAGTGTCATCGTATCCTCGAGTCCATATCGACCATGTACAAATCCAGGCATGCCTGCTCCAAAGTCCCAGTTTAGGACTCCAAATTCCCTGATTTATCTGATGTGATAGCAGTCATTTAAGAACCAGAATGAACAACTTGCAGCACTGTAGACACGGATGAAATGCACACACAAATTGTTTGCAAAGAACCCAGAGACCAGTGTGTCTTTACAGAAATCGGTGGATAGAGCCTTGCAAATTGACACTCCCCAAAACCCTATCAGTCTGCAGAAAGCACAAATAAAACAGAGACGTGAGACGCAAGTTATAAGTGAAATGACGCATCCCTGGTACCCTTTCCAAATATCCCAGCCCACCGGCAGCAAGGAGAGAGGATGGAAACGAAACAGAAGGGGGTTTTGTTTGGATCATTACTAATTGAGCAGTGACCAAGTGTGCCATGCCCTGAATGCCTTCCTGAGACAGACATGTCTGCACATCCAGGACAGTCACAGGGAAACACACGCTCTTGGATACAGTGGGGTTAAGCCATGCCTAGAAGCTCAGCAGTATCAGATCTGGGCACTAGGAGTAAAAAATTGATGCTGATCTCATGTGGTGATCCTGCTCTAGAATTACTCAGAGCACAGGCAGGGGTGTGGGTGTTATGCCACTGGCGAGTGGTGCTGATAACAGCTGATCCTTCTGTCTTCATCATTCATCCTCAGGTAAACCTGGCATAAACCCAGCAAGTACTAAGTTACCCCAGCCACAGTTTTTAATACATTAGAACCGTCAGAGCTCTTACCAGAAGGATGTTATGTGCCACGGGGGTTGCAGCATTTGTTACCTCCTAGGAGGATCCCTAAACCATGAGTTCCCCCGTCACTGCACCATGGCACCTGCTCCTGCCCAATCCTTCTCCTTTGGCAACAGGAGTTCAGGACACTGCACCAAAACAGTTGGCTTTGCTGTCAGAAGGCCATGAGGTTTGTTACTCACATTCCTGGTGTGAGCGCGAGGCTCACACATCAATATTTACCTATGAACACATAAGATTTGACAGGAAAACAGAGATAACAGAGAGATCTCAAAACACTGTTCGCTCCATCTGGCTGGTTACAACCGCATGTCGGGTGTTAAATCTAAGGGTTAGTCTTTCACCCTCATAAAAATCGTCTGTGATGGAGCTCCCAAGACAGACTAATTCGGTCCAAACTAACTTTAACATTAAAAGTTTTTTCCCAATGTCCAGTCTCCTGTGGTACAGTTTAAGCCCACTACTTCGTGCTCTGTTCATGGTGGATATAAAGAACAGCTTAAACTTTTCCTCCGTTACATATTTCACTGCCGTTTGGATGTCTTCACCTACCCCCTCTCTAGACTGAGCAACCCCATATTTTCTAGTCTTTCCTTGTAGTTCATGTTTTCTCCTCTTCAGGACATCCTTGTACGGTGTCCCCAGCCACCTGTTATCTGGGATTTTCCTTGCAATTCCCATGGTTTTCGACACATGGTAGCTATAACAGGACATGGTGAACAACTCACAGCCCCTTCAGGGCAGACCCGTTCACAGGCTACTCGACACTTGCAATATCCAGTTTCTCTCATGCATCGAACACAGCCTTGGCCTTGGTCATCTGAATGCGTAAATAAGTCACACTGGACTCACCCCCCAGTGGCAAGGGAAAGGTGTTTTCAGCTTTGTGCACCACAGCACTTAAGAACATCTCTATATTTAAGAATTTAATGAACCTTAGTCTTCCTATGCAAGTCATCTCTTCAAACCCAGGGGTTGTGGGGGAAAGGACCCTTCATTGCAGGGGAGGCTGGGGAGGGAAGAAGAGAGGAACACAGCCTCCTTTCCACAACGACCTCCAACAACCCCTGGCCTTCTCAAACACATCAGATTGGCCAAAGATGAGCGAAAACCTTCGTATCTCACACCCCCTGAATCCCCACTGACCACGTTACCCAAGGTGTTTAGGGTACCACAGCAGTAAGCAGCTTCATAAAACCTTTCATATCTACAAAGAGCATAACCTGACCCCTGCTTTGGGCTCTGGCTTCTGCTGGCACAGCATCCATCCATCCCTCTTCCTTGCCCTGCCTCTTCTCTTTCTCTTCCCAAAGACCTTGTCCCTCCTTTCCCAGGCCCCAACAGACAGAGCTACCTTGCCCAGGTGCCATTCTGCAGCTTGCAAAGAGCCAAAGCATCCCACAAAAGCAATAATCCTAGACTGAACTTTCATCTTGTTGAGCACACACGCTTTCTGACATATCTCCACTCAAGTAAATGGAGATATATGGTCCTACAAGAGACAATCTGGCTTGCTAAGGAGATGTGTGGTCCCCACAGGCCAATCACTCTTAGCTAGTTAAGTGATGCTAGGCTGAAGTTACAAAGTGCTGTTGCTTCAGGAGCATTTCAGGAGCTTGGGGTTTTGAAGGGTGTTTCCACCAGGATGAGGAGGTATGGTTGGCGTACAGGAGCTCTTTGATGCAATCCAGTGTCTGAACGTACAGCAGAAACATCACCAGCAGCAGAAGGAAGAACACAGTGCAATCCCTTTCCTTTTTTTTGGGATGCCAGACCAGGACTAGGTATCCATCACAGGCTCAGACCTCAGAGCCCTCGGCGCTCAAAGGGGATACCCTGCCCAAGAGCTGACCCCAAACAAAGTCCTCAGGGCATGGTGGCACTCAGCCCTTGCCAAACATTGGGAAACGGCACTTAGGAGGCTTAAGTTTAGACATCTGAGTTCATAGATTCTGCGTCCAGAAAAATGATTCTTTGGAGCTGTTTGTAAGAAGGAGCCCATCGCTCTCTTCCATTCTTTACCAGCATCTGCTCTTCCTCTCTGACATGAGATGACTAGGGAATGAGAGCTACTGTGGCTGAAGCCCTCTCCTCTGCTTGAAAGAGAAATGGCTATGCAAAAAAAGTGACCTTGCAGTCATCTCGCAGTCCCATCTACAAGTACAACCAGAGACCAACAGTGGCTAGAGACCAGGGAAGCCAATAAACCCATTGTACCACATCTACTGGGATTACCAAGCTCTCATCCAGAGCAGAAACCATGCTGCCAAGCCTCAGATCATGACTTCACCCAGGGCTGCTCCTGCTCCCTCTGGGCATACAGCACTCACGTAGCAAACGGGAGACTCTGAGCCACTCTGCCCCACAGCTGTAGGGGACTGCTGGGTCCCTGCTGAGGAATGAAGCACAAGACATGCTTGAGGCATTAGACAAAAGGCAATGTTTGTGTGTAGATGCAAAGGGAAGAGTTGACAGGAATCAGGAAGGGCAGGGACAGCTCAACAAATATCTGGGCTACTTCACCCTGAAGACAGTGACCCCTAAGAAGAGCTCATCTCCCTCTGCAGCTCTGCAAGATGCAAGTGTCTGTGATGAATTTACACTGTGTTGTTGCTGGTATCAGCAAACACTCCAGTGGTCACTCCAGGAGAAGTCCAGGAGAAACGTCTCTTAGCGGTGACAAGTCCTGTGTGAGGATGAGGAAGACAAACAGAAGGGCAGTCAGAAACTCAGCTCAACAGGCACTCAGATCTCCAGGCACTCCTTTCTTCTCTTTGTCTCTCTTTCCACACAGGCATCACTCCCTCCCTTTTACCTCCACATCTCCTCCCAGGTTCCTGCCCTCAGGTACACCTCTATGTGCTCAGATATTTGCGTTCAGTTTAATGCAAGCTCCCCCCTTACACCTCAGCCACCCTTCAGGTTCTCCATGACCCTGCAGCTCCACGGTTTCATCCTTGCTATCAAATTCCCAGCCTGCTTTCCAGCTGTGACACGGCATTCAGAAGCCATAACATCTCTCCCAAGGTCTGGCTGAACCTGCAATGCCTCAGGCTGCATCAAATATTTCAACATTTGAATTCACAAGCGTCTTGATCCTAACAAAGATAATATCCCCGCATCTGGGCTCAGCAAAAACCTAAGGGGCAAACAACACCGCAACATATGGTAGAAGCAGAAGCCAAAGGACAGGAAGTCTGCGTTAGAACTGAGAACAGTTCAGTCATTTCCAGGATGTAGCAAGAGGCCTTACAGTGCTTGCATCTAGATTTGAAGCACAGCACCCCTAAAATTTAGATGTCGTCTGCAATCCCTGCCCATCTCCACCAGGCAAAAGTAAATGGATAGAGGAGGGA